TGGCTTTCTTGGGAGCTCACCTCACCTGCTGAATGAGCTTCTGAATGCCTTATGGAACAGTTCATCAAGCCTTTTTTTCTTTTTCCGAAATATCTTCTAAACCAATAGTTATGCTTGTATGGTGGAACTTCTGGACAGCAGAGAATGATTTTGGAAAGATATTATCCATGTATTATTTGTGAACTTGCTGAGAGTTTACTCGATCCCACTGAATCTTTAATGAAGACATTAAACATTGTGGACTAAGTGTTGATCCTGGAGGGATGCTAGTAGTCACTGGCCTCTAGCTGGACCTCCCACAGCTTAAGAGAGTAACTTGAGTCCAGCAGTCCAGATAGTTCTGCACTCATCTAATGATCCATTTCTCCAGTCTGTATCTCATAGATCTGTCTGTAAGTTGGGCAAGACTTTTCTTGTTGATTCTTCACATTTTTGTCCTTCCAGTGGCTGAAAGTGGCTTCCAGGAGGATTTTCTCCATCTTTTTCCTGGGGACTGAAATGAGACTGATGGGAGTCTTGTTCCATGAATCTTACTTCTTGAAGATGGGTGTGATGTTTATCTTTCTGAATATGAAGGTTTTGGAGATGATAGAGAACTGTCTTTCACTGGTGCTGCCAGCTCCTTCAATACCCCTGTTTGCATCCGGTGTCCCTGTGGATGAAGTGCCACCTAACTCAACACTTCTGTCTTGTGAGTACTGACTCACTGCCACAGACACTGTGAGGAATGCTTGATTACCTTGGAGGCCTGAGGAAGTAAGATCTTATTGTGAAAACAGAGGCTAAACCAAGATTGACCACATAAGCCATGGGGTCTCTTGCCACATTGAACAGTGGGCTCACATTTTCTCTAGTCTTCCTTTTACATCCTGTCTGGTTTTAGAAGCGTTTTTTTTTATCAGTCCCTTCATGTAATATTAGTTGCTTCCTACGGGTGCAAGGAATTTCCATTCATGAGGATTATGAAGTTTCCACTAACAGTTAAATTTAAGATATATTTTTTTTAAATTGAATTTTAAGCAAAATGGAAAACCCAATGTGGATATGTAGCAGCATAGAATATCTTAAGTTGGAAGGGGGATCTTTAAGGATTGTCAGGTGGAACTCCATACGCTCCTCATAGGACTACCTAAAACTAAACCATATTACTAAGAGCATCATCCAGACTCTGCTAGAACTCTGTCAGGCTTGGTGCCATGACCACCTCCCCGGGGAGTCTGTTGGAGTGCCTGACCAACCAGTAAAGAACCTTTTCCTGATGTCCAGTCTGAACTTCTTCTGATACAACTTCATTCCATTTTCTTATGTCCTGTTGCTGCTCACTAGAGAGATCAGCAGCTCCCCCTCTGCTGCCTCCCTTGACGAAGGTGTAGGCTGCAGTGGAGTCACTCCTCAGCCTTTTCTTCTCCAAACTGAACAAGCCAAGTGGTGTCAAGCTGCTCCTTGTAATTCTTGCCCTTGAGGCCTTTCACAACCCTAGTCTCCCTTCTCTGGGCACACTAATAGCAATGACCTCCTGGTACTGAGGTGCCCACAGCTGCACACGGGATTTAAGGTGAGGCTGCACTTGTGCAGAGTAGACTGAGACAGTCACCTCCCTCGACATGTTTCTCAGTACAACGTATTCTGCAATTGCTGTATTTGTACCCTGGTATTAAACTGTGAAACTAACTGTTTTCTCTTGGCCATCTTTCTAATCCTTATCCAGGAGCATGTACCCTAATCCACACATTTTTTAAAACACTTAAGTCTTTGTGAGCAAGCACAACTAACTCTACTTTTACACATCCTATTACTGTCACCTCTGGCCTCATCAAAGATAAGCTGTGAGATTAGGTATACCTCTACTCTACTCAAATATAGTCAAGCAGAATCTTTGACGGAACAGCAAAGCTGTAACTAGAATTTCATGCTTTGCATACTGGTGAATTCAGAGTGTGATTACATGACTCTAAATTGATTGTTTAAAGACCAACCATCTCATCTTGCTTTGCTGACACCAGCACTCATGTCTTATTCCACCAGTTTGTCTGATCCCACTGAGCTGTTGATTTGTAGAGGGGACTGAGGAGAAGAATTAATATTCCTGGGTCTTGTCACTGAAGTGATTCATTATGAGAGCAGCCAAGTACCAGCTGCAGGTGTTCTTGGGTGCCTGGCTTAAGCATGACCTGCAGCCATGTCCTCCCATCTATTGAGGTGTACTCCTCTTGACACCTCTAAGCTAGCAGGGAACTTACAGTACAGGTAGGAGGAAACAAGTAAAGTGCACATAGCAGGCTGTACAGGAGAGCTGCCGTGTTTTTGATGAACTTGCATTTTTGCTGCAGCAGTAGTGTCTTTCTGTGATACGCTCATTCCCACCTTTTCCTTCTTTGATGTAGCCTTGACTTAGTACAGCCACATACAGAGAGGCACATATTGCCAGTATGATAGTAGCAATGTGAACTGGAATTCCGTCTTACTGATTACACATTAAAATTTTGTATCTATAGTTGCTGTTTTTCATGGGGTTTATAATGAAATAGCAGGCTGCTGCAGGATTCAATACAACAAAACTTTTAGGGATCAAGGTTTGGTATGTCCAGATTTTGTTTTCTAAAAGCTGTATGGGATTTACTTTCTTTTTGTGTGTAACTAGATTTGCCAAATCAGACCTCACATGGTAGTAATGCTGTTCATCCCATCCCTGTAAATCTTTCTGTAAACTCTCGTCCTGTTTTGAAACACGGTCTGTAATATTAAGACTGTTAATTGTCCAAGTACTTGCCCAGAAACTGATATATCTTAGAAGTCTATAGCCTTTTTTAAAATGTCAGCTTCCTAAGAATGTCTGTGTATAATGATGAATATATAAGTATTCCCAAACTGTAATGTTTCTGAATTTTAAAAAGAAAATTTATGCAGTAGTTAAACCTCAGTTTATTTTAGTGACTCCAGAGACTTTTATGCTCCAGGGAGAAAATGGTAGCTTTCAACCCTAGGAGAAGGAACTTCTGGCAGAATTTTTTGTTTCTTTGCTTTTAATTTCAGGGCAGGGCAAACCCTGATCCTCCTGATTTTATTTCTGTTCCACATGGATATGTATCCTTTTGTCATATGAACAAAAGTATTTTGGGCAATAAAATATCTGCTTAAACTCTGAAATTAATGGATTCATTTATGTTTGCTTTTTCTGAAAGATGGTTTGATTTTATGCAAATGGTATGTTCTATTAAGTTTGTGGGATTAAAAAACATTACAGAATTCAATTTAAAGAACAATACTATTTAACTACCCATTTGACATCATCTATGGGAGTAAATAATGACACATTCATTTTCTCTGCTTTTGTGCAGGTTTATGGTATGTACATGTGGCTACAAATTTTCCTTGTGGCTGATTGTTCTTTGTTAGCTTGTGCCTTCTCCTACATTCAGCTGGGCTGAATGCAACCAAAGCCCTTGGCAAGTTGAGGCTAAAAAGTATTCATCAGGCCAAAGGATCACTTATTGTAACTTAAAATAGCTAATAGCTGTCAACATTACCATGATTACAAGAAGTAGTGTTCATTCCTTTTGGACAGATGATTTTTCAGAGTTCTGGCTCTTGAGAGGTTCTGGTTTAGGTGTCTGAGAAATTGAAATGAAGAATTGGAGAAAACAGTTGTTATTTGCTCTGTGTGGGATCTTATGTCACAAAATGTTAGAATACATAACTTTTTTTTTTTTTTTTTTTTTAAATTTTAATACATGAACGTACAGTCAAGGAAGAAAAACAACTTTATTGCCTTCTTCCTCTGCCTTTGCATTCTAGCTGCATTGTTGAAAACAGTCTGGTAAAAGTAAATTTTATTACCTAGGCATGTCCCTCAATATTCTCTAGGCTACCATACGATCTTCTGAACAAAGTTCTCTGCAAAAAGATTCATTTGGGGCAGTATTTAATTTTTTTTTTTAATTGAAATCCAGTCTTCAAGAAATTGGAGGCAGTAAAATATCATCCTAACTTAGAGAGGTAAAATGTGAAGTATACATATCTACATCCTAGATTTCCCAGTTTTGCAATTCCCATTTTTTTAATTAGTGTAATATGCATGAGGCGTGCAATGGGTCAGCTCATTCCTGACCCCTGAGTCAGAGGATGGTTTGGTTATCTGAAGAGACAAGGATAATCACACAGGATATCCACAAAACCAGTGTGACTTTGTACATGGGAACCTGTGGGAAGAGAGGGGTGTTTCCTTGCAGGTGCAGAGCTCTGCATCTTCTCTTCAGCTTTGCAGGGCTTGTCAGACAGCAGCTAAGATGTCTCTGGCCTTTAGTGCATTGAAACAATGGATAAATGAATAGCTGTGCTAGGAATCAGAGAAATCCAGGCACAGCAACACTGGAGCACAAGACAAGATTTTAGCTGAGTTTCTTTCAGATGGAAGGAATAATCTTTACATGTCTGGTAACTGCTCTGTGATGGCTGATTTATCTGTGGTTTCTGGAAGTGATCTGTTTGTACCTAAGAGTCTTTAAAATCAAGAGAGGGAGCTAGATTCTTTTTATAGCAAAATTGCTGCTTGCTTAGCAGGCATACAGTTTATTTTCTGTACTCTAGATAACACAGAAGCTGAAATTAGAGACATACTGCTTTTATTTAAAACCTCAGGCTGTTTTTTACAGTGTAGCTTTGTGGTGAGTTAACCTTGGCTAAGGGCTGAACTCCCAACCAGATGCTTGGTCATTCATTATGCCTCCTCAATAGGGCCAGGGGAGATAACAGGGTGGGAAAGCTCATAGGTTAGGATACAGATGAGAGATTGTTTACCAGTTAGTGTCATGGGCAAAACAAACTCTACTTGGGGTTAACAGTGTGGTTTCATTAACCCATCCCATACTGAGAAGAAATATGGATACTGTTTGTTGGACTTTAATTCTTCTACCAGTGAGATTTGTTAGTTCTTAGGCAGGCGAGACTCTCTCTGTTCTTGTTGTTAATGTTTGATTGACATGCTTTTTGTCTTGCAACAGATCATGGTAATGTCAGATGGAACATCATTCTCTTCAGGACAGAGCCTTCATCTCCCCAGCCTTCCTAGTAACTCCCTGTCTTTTTCTGAAGCGAAGAAGAAGTCATCTCATGGGCCAAAGGTGAATCTTATTTTGCTAGAAGACACTTCAGCTAGTGGTGCTTTTCCTGGAAATTACCTTGAGAGGGAAAAAGATTTCTAGTTATTTTTGCAATCTTTCCTATGATAGCAGGTCTTGATATTTCTTTGCTGTGAACTTACTGTATGCCACATCAAAATACTGCAGGACAAGAGTGGCTGTGGAACAAGTGCCAGTTAAAGTTTTCTGGTTTTTGTACTTGTGCAATTGTTTTCCTCCTTTTCCAAAAGGAATTGTAATGGTCTGTTGTAGTATTAGGCGATTCTGGTAGAGGAAGTGTGATCTGCAGAAATGTAAATATGAAATAATAGTATAATAATAATATCTTTTATTAATCTCTTTTATAGATAATTGTGTAGAGTGAAACTTGAAGTTGTATTATTTAGGATTATTAATTTTTTTAAATTTCAGGGGTTAATTCTTTACTAGATTTTTCAAAGACAGCAGCGTGTCATCAGTCTGTAGGAAATCAAATTGAATCCCCAACCCTAGAACGTGGTAAAAAGGTATAATCTCAGGAACCTTCTGAGTAATACAAATGGACCTTTCCAAAACAGCAGAAAATTTCTTCAGTTTGACAAAATTAATTGGGAAATATGGGAAAATAAAGAGCAACTTGTTGTTTATTCAAGTGAGAAATGCAACACAGTGGACTGCTTCGTAAGTGAATGAACATATAAGCCTTTTCTCCATTCTGTTAAATTGTTTGGGGTTTTTTTCATAGCGTCTTTTCGATTTGAAATATCTTACTTAATCTTGCAATGCATGTATTGCAAGGGGCAATACCTGTTTTTATTAATAACTTTCATGTTCAGTGTCTTTGCCAAATCTCATACCATGCACGAATTGTCAGGTAATAAACTAGGCGTATGCCTAAGACAGGATAGTGAGGATACATAGTAAGTAAGCACAAGTGAAAAGTGTTTTCTGGCATCTCTCTGCCTGGTTTGCATTATATTTCAGTGCCTCGCAATCTCTAATGTAGGTGGCTGTGCACCATTTAAAGCATGTGTGAAAGTATGGTTGTGTTCCTAAGAAGAAACTGAAGTCTAATATGAGGGTTAGACTGAAGGTGCTTCCTTTGGCATGCTAAAATGATTGCTTAATTCCTCAAAGGAAGGCACCTGGCTACACCACGTGTGGAAGCAAGGTGCTGTTGGTTAGATTAGGATGTATCTTCATCTCATTGGATACCAAAGATAAGGTACTTCAACACTTTACCATCTATAATGGGGGTTCTTGTGAGGTTGTGTAGGTAGCTCTCTAGAGTTCAGTTTCAAATGACTTCTTAAGATTCAGCTGATTTTTTGTTTATTTTAATGGAGATGGTATTAGTAAGCCGCAGTATTTTGATTCTTAAAAAAATCTCTAATCTTGAAAATAGAGAGGACAGGCAGAAATATAAGAACTTACTGTATGCATTTTTTCAGATTTAAAAATAGCTGCAAACTAGCTACGAATACTTCTGTTGCTTCTAAATCAGTTATATTACTGTGTCTGTTCATATTTATGTGAATACTACATGCACAGAATACAGAGAAGCCGCTTGATTAGGGTTTTTTTGGGAATGATCATGTCTTTTGGAATGAGCTTTACTGTCAGTGCAGTGAAGTGAGATTCATTTTTATAAACAAAGAAAACAAAAGCTCTTATTCCTGCTTGTGACCAGAAGAAACATAAGTTGTTTCATGCTCCCCCTTTTGGATTTTTCTGTCTAACTAGAGAGCTTTGTAGTTCTCCATCTTCTTCTTATTCTTCTGATGTCATTGTTGTGTCATTGGTCATAACAATTTGGTGGCTTGGGCTAAACTGAAGTCTGGAAAGCTTTGTAAACATGTGAGCAGCAGGTAAATGAATCTCCTACCCTCCAGTATTTGCGGAGGCTTTCAGAATGTTTGTTTTCCTTTTTTTTTTTTTTCCAAATCAGTTTGTGTTGTTCTTCAATAATAAACACATTTGTATTCAATAGGAACCTGAATTTCCTTGATCAAGGAATTACTTTTAGATATCTTCCTCCTCTTTTCCTCTAAAGAGCAGTAGGCATATATGACACTAGTTGTAGTCCATTGACTTAAGATGGACGCATTATTTCAATAAACATAATTTTTTTAAATTAGAAATGAAAATAAGGCACATTATTATGGTCACTACTACTAAATTTGTAGTTTAAACTCAGAGTACAGTACACTGACAAGGCCATGCCAATGTGCTCAATTTAATGACTTCATAAAATTTAATGAACTGCCCCTGCCCCTCTGCCTTCTCCCCCCCACCCTGCCTCTACCAAGTGCTCCATTTGCTAATTAGGTTCCTAATGTCTGTTAGTAGATGAGGAGGTTTGCGGTGGTTTCCAGACGTTACTGCTTATTCAAACTCATGTTAAACCAAATTGGGAATTACATTTTGTGAAGAAAAGTAAAAATCCAACCCTGCAATATATACAGAGTTCAACACCATTTTTTGCCCTGTAGTTACAGAATTGTTTTAATCTGCAAATGTGTTACCTATTGAGCAGCATTCATGTGTCTCTCAGATTTACAGGACAATGTATTCTGTGATTTAAACTTAATATCATGAGCTCATTAAGAAATACAACAAACATGACAAACTGGGTCGGTCCCCTTTGCCCAGACTAGTTTATCATATGAATTCACTTACTTATTCACTGCTCAAGTCATAAAGTTTCATAATTTATAACCTGTAACTCTTAATCCATGCACTTGTGATACATAAAAAACTGAAATCAGTTACCTAGCTGAGAGTGAGAGTGCTTCTCCTTCCTCATCTGTCACATTGCAGGCATCCCCTATATCACAGTGGGAAGCATGAAAGTCTGAGCAGTACTGCTGGTAATGAATCAACTTCAAAAACTGGGGGTTTTTTTTGTAAACCAATGTTTGATGTCTTCCAGATTGGATGTTTGGCCTATGTAATTTCTATGAGTTAGTAGATTCTGATGAAACTGCCAAAGATGAGGAGACAGTGATTTCCAGGTATCATGGCAGCATAATGGCTCTTTAGCTCTTTCTGGCCATTTGCCCTGCCTACAATATGTAGTCTGCCCCCAGAATGCATCTCAGGCCTTAGCATGAACTGTGTTGGCCAGAATCTGAGCAGGAGCTGAGTATAACAGTCTCAGTAGCACGATTTTTCTCTGCTGGTAAAACTTAAGATTTTTATCATGCTTTCTAAAATACTTATTTTTAAAGCTATGTTAGCCCCTTTCATAGAGCAGTGCTATATGTCTTAAAGTACTTCATGTATTTAGTGTTACTTGGCTTAAGAAAGGAAAATATGTGCAGATATTTTAACATGCATATGATCCTCTGTATTATTCTTTTGGTGTTTGATATGCGAGGCATCAAAGTAACATTCACTTGGGTTGCTTCGGTATTTGATGAATACCTAAATGTAAGCTGTGGTATGCAAATATATTACCTGTCAAAACCCTACCATCTCAATTTTTTACATGAACTTGAGAACAGACTGTTTTATTTGTCCCTCTTAGTAGAAATACTTAACTTACTTCTTGCAGCACAGCTTAAGGTGGGAAGGAAAAGAAACATTTAAACACCGTTAGATTTTGATAAATAAGAAAATGGTTTGAAAGTACATTCTGATTTTCAGCAAGATCTATGCTGTACGAGATATGAAAAATTAGCCACTTTTCATCCCCACCAGCCTTCCACATCCATTATTAGGTTTGAAATAATTTACCATTGAGTATAATTTGACTTTTTTTCTGTCTTCAAATTTTATGTTCCTTTTGCTGTTTCCTTTATGTCATTATTGGCTTCTGTTTGGGTAATTGCAGAAATTTAGGAAATAAGAAAATGTGCTTTTTTTTACTTAGAGAATGAATGCAGATGTAAATTCAATGGGTTGGCCATCTTAATGAAAGGGTAACTCTGAGAGACCATGTGAGAATGATGTATAAATGTCTGTATTATAAGTACATCAAATACTTGTACTATGATTTCTATGAAAACATCAGCTTCCATGTTGCAGAAGGGGAGAGAAGTCCAGTTGTAAAATTGAGAAGACTAGATCTCAAGTTCCTGTTGATTTTAATGCTACTCTACCCCAGGGCTGTGGTCTCATCTCCTGGAAAACCTCTAAAATGAGACTGTCCTTTGAAGCAATTTAAAATAACGTGTTAAGGAGAGGAGTAAGAAAAATAAGGACTCCATCTAGTTTAGGAATGGTACGTGTTTTATTCCTCCCCAGGGCAACACTTACAGTTCTGGCATGATAGAGCAAGATGTGATGCTAAATACATTAATCATATGTCAAACTTTGGTGCTGAGCATCAGACAAAGTAGACAAGTTTTTTTTTTTTAAATTTTAAAGAGAAACACCTGAAAAGGAGTTATGACTAAAGTAAAACATCTCAAGGAATGATTAGTGTAATTGAATAATTTGTGCAGCACTGTGTGAAAACTCAGTGTTTCACTAAATAAGATATTGAGAAGGGAAGAACACTTCAAAATAATTATTTTTACTTAATTGTTTCCACCTCTTGCTACAGAGAAGGGAGATACTGCAGTTCTTGCACAAGTTTTATGTGTAAACTATTCAGGTCCTACAGCATTAATTACTGGCTTAACACATCCTGACTGAACAAATTAGAAGTAGCTATCTACTATTAGTGGGTGTAGTCTCAGTCTTCTCTAATTGACACCACTTCCATTAAGCAGGTTAATTTTGCTTTGTTTTCTTGTGTAGTTTTTTTTTTTTTTCTTAGAGCAGTTCTACTGCATCCATTATTTTAAAATTAGACAGCCCTCAGAAGGATGAGGCTGGCCATGTCCTGCTTTGGTCCTTTATGTTCCACCACACTTCTGCTGTCCCATCTACATTGTAGGTAAAAGGGTGGTTAAGTAAAGATAAAGTGAAATATGTTTTCTCTTCTGTAGCTTTGTAAATCTGTGGCAGATTTACAGCCAGATATACCATATTTAGATACACTTCTGTTCTAGGTAAAGGAAAAAGAAATCAGTGGGTATATGCAATGCATATTGAAGTGTTGCCTAAAGATTGAGAGCAGAAAAAATTCCAGGCAAATTTAGTAGAGATAGATAATAGAGCAGGTCTTTAATGAAGGCCTTCTGGTGCAAAGAGTACAGAAAAGGTGTGCCCTGTGTCCAGGCGTTCCACAATTTATGGTCTGATCCAAGAACCACCCACCCCCAGGTCTGCCCCCTGGGCACACCTCCCCAGAAATTGAGTTGGAGGTCCTAAGACCCCTTTCTTCCTCATCTTCCTCTTCTTCACATCACGTTCTGTTTTTGGAGTTTCTCCAAGGTTCCAGGCTTGAAGGTTGCTTTGACTATGATGGTATCTTGTTTTTGAGGCCTGGGGTCTAAATGTTCTTAAACTGGAGGTGTTTAGTACAGTCCTACCTTGATGGGAGCCTAAACAAGCCTGAAGAATTTAGAAAATTTGATATGAAATGGGGGAATAGGGTTTAGTGACTGTTAACTACCATTCTAAAGTATGACGACTATACAGCTACATTAAAATCTACAAAAGCTAAAAATCCTAAAAATTCAAAGGCATGAAAGTGTTTCTCTAAGTTTCTTGCATGCTAGGCAACATATAGATAGAAATGCTTATAATCAGTTTAGAAGAAAGTAAGCAAGCCACATAGACTTCTTGACCATGCATTCCTGCAAATTGAAATGTCACTTTGCAGGTTGGAAGTAATATGAAAATGAAACTTGTCTTATAGAGAGTGCAACAGGTGTTTAGGACAGTACAGTTAGTCTACTGGCTGCTTTTGCAATACCAAAAGCCCACTTCTGGCAGTTTCAGTGCAAGTGGGCAGTGCAGAACTATTCTTGTCTCTTGAAAATTCTGGGTGTTAATTCTCAGAAGAAAGGATCCCATATGACCCATTATGAATAGTTCCTTTATTGCTGGTTCCTTCATTCTCAGTTCCCTTATTATCAGTTATAGCTGCAGATCACCACTTTCCTTGCCATTTCAACTTTTCAGATTCAGATACTGCTTTTCTTTTTCTGGTTTTTCCTGTCTTATAGAACCTCAAAGTCATCACCTTCTCAGAAACACTTCTCACTTTTTAAATTTTAAAAAAATGCATTCAAATGCTAAGCAGAAACATGAGCAAATATATAAAGAAGAAAGCTTTTTTAGTAAAGGAAGTTTTCCATAAAAAGACATTAACTATTGGCTGTCCAATCAAATCTTCTATAGCTGGGCTGGACCCAGAGTCATCATTGTGTATAAGGAAAAGGATCTGGCAAAAGCTGGAGAGAGGATCACAGAAGAGAAGTCAAACTTTGCCTGAAATGTCATCAAGAGCACATGTTTTGCTCTGATTGTGCAGTAGTTCTGTTGATGTCATATGGTTCATATCATCATTTTTCCTTATAATTTTTTCTGATAGCTAACGGTGATGGTAAACATTCATAGACTGCTTTTATGTTCATCTTATGAGGTTTCTTAAAAAAACATGTATAATGCATAAGATAAAAACTAACTTATCTTGCAGATATTGTTAAGCAGTGGTAATGCTCACGTTTTACCACTTTGTTTGTTTGACCAAAATGTTGGGGGTTGTATCTATTCTTATGTAGGTATTTCTGGTTTTCCATCTGCAGTTCCAGGTTTTGAATTCATATTCAGTATGGAATCCTATGTCCATATTGTGTCTGCTTTTTGAGCCTTTAAGGTTTCTTTCTTTTTTATTCTTCAGTAAAATTTTGCCTCTCCTTTTTGCAGGACCCAACTAGGATTCTAAACACAAATAGCAGCAGCAGCAGTAGTAACAGTTTTTCAAAGACCCACAAGTTAACAAAGGAGCACAAAGAAAAATCTTCTAAAGACTCAAAAGAACATAAAAGTGCCTTCAAAGAACCTTCCAGGGAACATAACAAATCTTCCAAAGAATCCTCTAAGAAACCCAAAGAAAACAAACCACTAAAAGATGAAAAAATGGTTCCTAAGATGGCCTTCAAGGAACCCAAACCCATGTCCAAGGAGCCAAAATCTGAAAACACCCCAATCCTTGCCATAACTTGTGGGCAGCAGCAAGAAAAGAAGACTCTTACAAAAAAGCCCTCTGTGCTGGACTCTGATGAACCTTCTGCAAAAAAAAGAAAAAAAAACAGCTCGGATTCGTTATTTAAAAGTTTTTCTAGCGCCCCACCACTGATTCTTACTTGTTCAGCTGACAAAAAACAGGCAAAGGATAAATCTCAACTCAAAGTGGGGAGAGTCAAAGTTGAAAATGATGCACTGGAAGGGAAGACGCCTACTCTGCCGCCTTTTGATGATATTGTAGATCCCAGTGATTCTGATGTGGAGGAAAACACGTCCTCCAAATCTGAAGTAAGTGATTGATTGGTTTTGCTTAACATATGTTGAGTGTTCCTAGTCTTTGGAATTGTGTGTCATATTTGTGTTTTCCAGTTCCTTTCTCCTGTCTAATGGTAGATTATCCATACTGAAGGAAGTTGATTGGGATGTTCAAACTTGATGCACGTTCTGGTTGAATTGTATTGCCTATTTAAGTCAATTAATAAATGTCAACATTATGATGAATGAGCATATGGGAGCTGACTATAAGCAATACTGCTTTTTTGAGGCTCTTTTGCATTTCATGCTTCTTTTGAGACAAAAGGAAAGGGTTTATTTCACACTCTAAATCTTCGGTTTGAGGTGTTAGAGAATTCAGTAAATCCAGGAAAGGATTGCAGTTATATTGGAGTTACTTGTTATTTTTTTGCTAAAAGAGGCAGTTCTGTGAACCATGTCACTTTTGTGGAGGAGGAGTTCCTAGGATATCACTCTGATGAGGAGAATCTATCCAAAATAGCAGGCTTACCAAGAAGAAAGACTGTTTTTTATGGCAATTTGCTTTTCTGAAAATATTTGTGTACTCTGCCTGCTCATTTTTTTCAAGCATGATTTGCTTTTGGTAATTAGGATTTTAATCATTCTCCTAGTAAACTTTAGTTTTCAGAAGCATCTTTTATAGAGACATGGGTAGAGAAGGAGAGGTGTGATAGAAGCCTTGTATGGTGCCATTGTCTTTGCTTATAGCTAGGGGTAGTGTGCATGATAGAGAGGAATTCTTCCCTGCCTTGCCTGTTCAATTCTCTCATTTTTTTGTTTTCTGATTTGTGCCTCTGTTACTGTCATCAGATGCATAACCCTGCTTGCCCTCTTTGGAAGAGACAATAAATGCCCTGCTGTGGGGAGTTGTCAGCATTAGGTTTTTACTAAATAGAAACTACTCCCGAGGGAGAAAGTAATTTACTTCTGAAGTGACCTTTTAATGACTGGCCTCTTAGGGCATGCAAAGGCTGTAAAATTTAGAAGGTATGAAATAGGACAGGCGCTGCTTTACAGCATCACACTGGTGATGTTCTGTGTTTGGAGTGGCATTCTCATTATGGCTTAGAACTTAAACCAGTTTGTCTTTAAACCTGTACAGTCTTGCTACCCTTGGTGTGAATTATTTTTTTCATGTCTTGAAAGAAGCTGAATCTTCTATTTTAATTTATGTCAGTATCCTTAAGACTAGCTACCTATCCTCAGTATTTAGAATAGATTTTTGGATTTCCTGTTTATTCAAATAGGTGCCATGTAGTGGTGCATATACTGTTACTGACAGCAGCAATTCTCCATTTTTTTTTCAAAGACAGAAGAATTGAGAGGAGCAACTGCAATGTAACTAGAATTTTACAAATGCAGGCTCTATAGAGGTGTGTCCTGTGTAGCAACTTACAGATGATACGTAATGGATATGGATGATACTTAAAACCAGTCCTTTTTAATTGCTGATACGTGTCTCCCTCTTTAGTGTCTTGCAACCTCTCACCCATTGCCAGTGGTGTAGTGGGTACACCTCTGTGTTTTTCACAGGCTGGCACAAATCCACTCCACTGCTGTTCATCCATCTGCAGTTGACCTGTAGAACCTAAGGATGTTCCTTAATTCTATACCAAACCTCAAAAGCAGATTCAGTGTCTTCTAGGTCTGCAAACCACTGTTACTGACAGTGTAAACTACTGGACTCTGCTCCAAGAGAAGCAAATCCTACTGGTCGGGGCTCTTGTGTGTTTTAACATTGACATTCTGGGTCATGGAACACACATGGGAGGGTCAGTGTGGTCCCCATCTGAACAAGTGAAAAAGATGTCTGCCACTTTTGGACTTCGCTCCTTAATAAATCAGGCTGAGTATGGCTCCAGTCAGTGATGAGATACTATTTAGAAAGTCAACAATATACTTCAGTTTAAGAAAAACTAACCAGAAAACATGGAATAATTCCCTGAGGTGCCTGTGGATTCACATGATTGTTAGTGCTGTGGGAGAAAGAGCGGGGCAACCTGGTTAATGAGAGTCTTCAGAATTTCACAAAGAATTGTTCCTTCTACACTGTACTAGTTTTAATCAGGGAATCTAAGGAAAGGTTACACAGCCAAGCAGTGTAATAGAGGTAATTCTGTGTGTTGGAAAAAATAGGTTGAACTTTTTTGTATGTCTTGGTAAGTTTCTCAACATTTCAGGAAAAGAAGTAAATTTTACAGCTAGATCCAAAAATGGTATATCCTGTAAATATATTCATATTAAATAAAAAAAAGGTGAAAAGTTACAACTTTACATAGAGAGTAATGGAAGTGAAAGTGTGATAGTGCTTTTGCTATACAGAAACAGTTATTTCAGGTCTATTAAGCTTTATGATATTAACCAACATAGTTGCCCAAAGCTGGGAAGATGCTTCTTCAGTGACATGTCCTGGCATAATGCTGTAAAATTCAGTCAAATGTTATTTCTTACTCTGGTGCAGTTACAGTGGTGGCTATCGTAGCACAGACGAACAAAGAATGTATCATTATATGGGAGTATATTCCTTAGTAGAGTATCCAGATTTATTCCTAAAATGTCTTTAAAAAAGCAAAACCTCAATACCCAATTCAGCAAATTTGGATTAGATATAATAAATCACGTTACAAATCAATACCTAAAAGAAAATTGTTAGGATACTACAAAAGTATTAACTTTGACTCAAGTGCATTTTTATGACATAGTGCAAACCTAATACTGTATGGATTGTTGTAATGAAATTATGAATAATTTTGCTAAGAATTTTGTAGTTTCTTCAGTAAGGGATGGTCTCATTCTGAAATATACATGTCCTGATATGATGACTGTTCTCTTTATTGGTACTAACTCACATGCATAACTTTGCATATCAAACATGATAAATTTGTAATAAAAGGTGCAATGTAGAGCTGAGGACTTTCTGCAAACCAAGTTTCTTTACTGTTGCTGGTCCCACTGAAGAATTTTTGGAGTTAGAGGTAGTCCATGTCAATTGCAGAGGCTGGGTTTGGGATTTTAAAATAAGGATGACATTCTGAGAAGTCCTCATGGTAAAGGAATCTTACAAGCATCATTAAACAGAGGTACTGTTTCTCTGGGTGGGTGCTACAGGATGGCAATACTGCTGCTCCCCCGGTTTCCTTGGATATAACCCCTGTTCGGTGATTTGGGGTGGGATGTATCATATCAATTAATGGGCTTGAATTTCAGACAGAAAAGCAGAGTGCACTCAACTCTTCTCAGTACTAGCATCATGCTCTACCTAGTTCTGGGCATTCAGACTTGAAATACTGGCCTTTGTCTTAGAGTGGAGGGAGTAGAGGTTTAGCATCCTCTGAGAGAGGTGCATTACTCTGTGTGGTAGAGCGTGTCTGCCAATGGTTAATCGACCCTCTGAGCACTCCCTTAAAATTCACCTTTCAGAGTCCTGATAGTTTAGCGAGGTGTTGCCTCAAGGGCATTTCAGAAAGCCAGACACTGTCCCCTGATGTCCTGGAGTCAGTCCCTTTGTGAGCTTCAAATGCCTTTGTAAAATCCAATGGAAATGAAGGGAATCATACCCTTGCTTAGTGATAAACTTTCTGCCCTGGTTTAATAGCCTTTCTGTGTGTGACTCAATGACTAAGAACACATAAGGTCATTCTTCTGTGGTCTGTTTGGCATACGCTGTAGTGTGGTTCACTGTTGTATTTATTTTAACTTATATTTTCTGTTGACTTGGAGCTGTTGGCCAGTGAAACAAGTGTCCATTTATCTTCATGCTGCTTTATTAAGTATCACTTTTGAAATACATCTGTGATTTCAGTGTGTTGTACTTCAGTAATAGTGATAGACTTGGTGTTCAAAAGAGTGTGGAGTCTTTTTTGAGTCTATGAGCTAGCAAAGCTCTTCGGTAGCAACAGGTATACTCAAAAATCACACAGGCTGAAAAACTATTTTACTGGCTTAGGTATGAAGCATGCTGTCATGGTTTGAGATAGCCTCAAAATTCAATCCCCTAGCTCCATTCCCCCTCCCACATCTCAACCTAATGTGAGATGGGTTTTTCCAGACAAAACACACCAGACACAAAGTGGGGGAAAGGGAATATATTACAATGACTGTACAAATAAATACCATATCACATTATACACATGATCACAAACTATCTCTACCATGACATATAGTATTTACAGTGGATCAGATCTCTTCTCCCCTCCAAATAAAAGTCCAGGAGGGAAAGAAGGACAGATCCCTTCCAGTCCTTAAGCAGCAGCATCTTCTGAGGCAGCAGTCTGTCTGTCTTCTCCACATGCAGCAGCTGATAGCTGGATTTCTGCCAGCACTCACGAGGGAGGTATCCAACCTCTCTCGGCCCCATCGCCTCCAACCGAGGGGTCTTCCGTGGGCTTCGTAACCCCAGACAAGGTCGTATCACCACGTCATATCACGAAGACACAGGGGGGTCTTCGTGACGGTCTGGTATCTCCAGGAGACTCAGCTCCTTGCAGGGCCTCTGTGCCCTGTCTCTCAGGCTGCCACCGTGGCAGCAGTGCAAGGGGGGGGAGCCAAGGTCAACTCCCCCCGCATTCCATCTGGCCGTCCCGGTCCAGCTCCAGGACACTCTGAGCTTCTCAGCTCCTCTCTCTCTCCGGTGCTGCATGTCCAAAACTGCTCTCCAAAATAGGAGTCCATGTCCCTCTTCTCCAAGAGGGGTCTCAAGGGAGTTTTAGGGGATCTGGTACAGTCTTACCCCCAGAACTCTGTCTCTCAGGCTGCTGGCTCTCTTTTTCCCGGCTCTCCTTCCAGGAGTCCTTTCTCTGGTGCTGCATGTTGTTTCTGCTGCTCCTTCAGTTCAGGTTCTTATCTCCTGGCTCTCTGCCACGGTTTCTCCGGCCAGTGCTGGCTGCTGCTCTGCGCCCATGGAGAAAACATCTCCCGGCATACTACAGACACTTAGTCCAGCCTAGCACTGTTCCAGGTCTTTGCAGTTCCCCCCCAGCCAGGGGCTGGGAGGC